AAGATGGTATATTTATTTGTGTCTTCCTTAATTTCTTTCTCTAATGTTAACAGTTTTCCATGTACAGGTCTTTTACCTCCTTGGTTAAATTTATTCCTAAGTACTTCTTTTTCCTTGTTGTTATAGCAAATGGGTTTTTTTTTCCTAGTTTTTCTTTCTGATATTTCATCATTGGTGTACAAAAATGCTATCAATTTCTGAATATTGACTTCATATTCTGCTATATTGCCAAATTCACTTATTAGATTAAGTAGTTTTTCGGTAAAAACTCTAGGTTTTTCTATGTACATTATCATGTCATTTGTGATGATGATAGTTTTATTTCCTCCTTTCCAATTTGGATGTCTTTTCTTTCTTTTTTCTTGTCTGATCACTGTGGCTAGAACTTCCAATACTGTGTTGAATAAGAGTGATGAAAGCAGACATCCTTACTGTTCCTGATCTTAATGGGAAAGCTTTTAGGCTTCTGCCCATTGAGTGTAATTTTGGCTGTAGGTTTCTCATATATAGCTTTTATTACATTGAGGTATGCTAACTCTATTCCCCTTTTGCTGAATGTTTTTATCATAAATGGGTGCTGGATTTTATCAAATGCTTTTTCAGAATCTATTGATACAATTATGATTTCTGTCCTTCATTTTGCTTATATGGCATATTACATTTACTGATTTATGAATACTGTACCATCCTTGCATCCCTGGGATGAATCCCACTAGATTATGGTGTATGATCTTTCTAATGTATTGCTGAATTTGAATTGCCAATATTTTGTTGAGGATTTTAGCATCCATGTTCATCACAGGTATCGGTCTGTAGTTTTCTGTCTTTGTCATCTTTATCTGGTTTTGGAATTAGGATGGCACTAGCCTCATAAAAAAGTTTGGGAGTCTTTCTTCTTGAAGTTTTTTGGAATAGTCTGAAAGGATATGTGTTAGTTCTACCTTAAATGTTTGGTATAATGCCCCTATGAAACCTTCCAGTCCAGGGCTTTTGTGCTCTGGGAGTTTTCTATTTTATGTTTCATAAAATATTAACACATTCGATGTATGTTACTAAGAGAAATGCAGTTGCAACCAACCACCCTTGTTTCAAACTTGACTAATTTCCACTCGGCTCCAGGATACAAAAAGAAAATCCTAAATGAAAGAAATCTTTAACGTGGTTCCCCTTCTGCTGTGAAGAGCAATGCACATCTAAGATACTCCAATTTTTCTAACAAACTGACAGAAAAATCACGTTTGATTTACTTTCATTTTTAGATCCCAATTTTAAGGAGTGGTGGATGTGCTGAAAGAAGCAGTAATTCTGGAGCAGGTGGTCACTGTGATTGATTTAGGAGACATTTGCCAGGACAGAGACAGAGTGGACTGAATATCTACACAACCTAAAATCTAACACAAAGTATATCCACAAAAAGGACTGACAAGCATCATGTTGCTGTAAGACACAATAGCGGGAAAAATCATGATTTAAGAACGGCATTAAAAAAACAAACAGAAGGCCAAAGTTGGTTTAAAAGGATATTCCTAAATTCACACAGATGTAGAACAGACCAAAATCAAAGAGATCACTTTGATTTGACAGTCTAAATGTAAATCAAGCTCTAATTAAAAACATTTGTAAAAAATCTTACTGGAGCCCTGGCTGCTGTAGCTCAGTGGATTGAGCACGGGCCTGCGAATCAGACAATCGCGGTTCGATTCCCAGTCAGGGCACATGCCTGGGTTGCAGACCAGTTCCCTGCAGGCCAATTCTCAGCAGGGGACACATGAAAGACAACCATACATTGATGTTTCTCTCCCTCTCTCCTTCCCTTCCCCTCTAAAGATAAATAAATAAAATCTTAAAAAAAAAATCTTATTGGCTAGAAAACTAAAAAAAAAAAGTATTTTAAATATTTACTCCGTAGGTACTTCTATTTTTGACCCAAAATACATCACTACTAATATGAAATGGTCTAATTAATGTACTTGCTGACAGTGTTACTCTAAAGCCTGATTTTTTTTTCATGCAATGACACAATTTGCTGGTAGAAAGAAGTGTAGCCATTACAACCAGTTGTGCAAAGGTCTGGCCAACTGAGGTAGGAACAGTGCATGGACAGCTCCCACCTGTTAGAAAAATGAAGACGATATTAGAGTAACAAAAGTTAGTGACATTTTACTCCGGGGTTTTACCCAAATCCTGAAACTATCCTTCAGGCCTGCTTTCCACTGCTTGGGTTCTCTAGTTTTTATGCAGAACGCTTAATCTAGGCCTTGCGGAGGCTTGAGGCTTTCACGGCAGCACACACGCACAGCCCCGGAAAGAAGGCACAATGTGTGGGGCATCATCGTCACCGCAATCCCAGCCTTCCTACCAGTCTGTGGGCAGGGCCAACGCTCAGGGTGTCACTCTGCTGTTTCCTCCCGTCTTTAAACAGCATGGATATTTCACTCATATGTGATTGTTCTCCACCTGCTCAGTCTTTGCTTCCCCTGCCCCACTGCAAAGATCAGCAGCACTTAATGGTATCCTTGTTTGGATTACTCTTCACCCCAGCTGCACGAAGCCTTCCTTTATATCATAGCTTTTTAGGATCTTATTTTTGTCCTTTTTACTCACATAGCCAGCCCACTACTATTCCAATAAAAGCTGAAATATTATGGCTAGGTGGGGTTTCAGTATTTCACAACAGGAAGAAGTAGACATTTGGAGGAATACTGGAAGAAGAAAAAGGAAAATTCTCAACAGAAAAATAAACATATACTTGAAAAGTTGACTTATTTTGTAAAAGAAACCATGAGAGCCTATATTATATATGTTCCATAATGTTGACAGCACTTGGTTCATAAGCTCAACACTTTTCCCTTATCTCAATGTTGAAATGAAAGAATACAGAATTTAAGAACTAGAACAGATTTCATAGATTTTCTCAATCAGAAATTCTCAGCATGAGCACCACTGGCATTTTGGGCCCAACCCCTTTTTGTGAAGACCTGCAGGATGGTTAGTGGCCCCTCTGGCGTCTTCCTACCAAATACCAGAAGCACCCCCCCCCCACCAGCTGTGATGATCAGAAATGCCTCCGGACATTGCCAAATGGCCCCCAGGGGACAAAACAGCCCCACACCTGAGAATCACCGCTCTTTGACGTGGATGCATATTGAATTCACATGAACGTAGGTATTGAGGGCAGGTGGTCAAAATCATATGCAGAAGTATCAAAGAAAATAAGATAGAGGTCACTAAAAGGCTAAATCTCCACAACAAAAAGAACAGTATCTGCTCTGTTTGTTTAGGTACTTGTAAGACAAGAATGACAGAGGTTGTTACACTGCTCCCACGTTGTGAAAATATTTTCATGTGATGTATAAGATGTAATGAACAGTGTTAAGGACCGAATGCTTGTGTTCCCCAAGACCTCCCAATGGGAGGGCCAGAGGAGCGGGGAGCCCCCCGAGTGGGGGAGTGCTTCGCAGAGAGCTGGTCTGCCATCTCTCTATGTGACAACACAAACTGAGAATCTGAAACCTGGACGGGGCTCTTGCCAGAGCACAGCCCTGCTGGCACCCTGACCTCAGACTCCCAGCCTCCAGACTGTGAGAAACAAACTTCTGTGGTTTACTCGCCACCCGGTCTGCCATAGTTCCAGCGGCTAAGACAGCATCAGGAAGCCAGAAATTTATCAGATTGGCCATGGTACAATTTAGAACTTACTGACCTACGATGTTGGCTAGAGAGCCTGCAATCATACTAAGTACTAGGTTTACAGCTTTCATGAGCTGTATTAACATCCTCACCTTTTTTTCATAATTAGAAGACAAATATCTTCTCAAACCCCGTATTTATTAGCTATGCCCTGGGTGGGGCAAGTTACTTCATTTCTCTGAGCTTCTGCCAATTTGTAAAATTCAAATGACAATATAACTCACAAGGATATTTTTAAAAGTTTAAATGACATTTGGTGTGCACAGAGTTCAGTGAATGATTAATATGTTATCACAATGTTATATAACATATAATGATATACTAATAGAGCTCAGTTAATATATGATTAATAAGTAACAATGGCTATCATTATTATTAATTATTAAAGTTGCAGTAAAATCCATCTTATAAAACCTGAATCCTTTGCTTTTGAAGTTGTTTTATATCCAGAGCTGGCAGAAAGTCTTTTTCTAATCTGACAATGGCAGCACAACAGAAGAGTCAAAGTTTCCAAATAAAAGTTTTCTGATAACTCATACGAGTTCAGAGACTGTCTTGTATGGCCCCCTTCTGCTAGCTAATTTCTTATTTAAGCTGACATGGTATATATGTCTTCTCCCAGCTGGGTGGCAAATATCCTTACTGGAAATATTTTTATTTTATACTTGTTCTCCAATATCCACAAAAATGAGAATTGCCCTGGCTGATATGGCTCAGTGAACTGAGTGTCAGCCTGGAAACCAGGGGGTCACTGGTTCGCTTCCCAGTCAGGGAACACACCTGGGTTGCAGGCTGAGTCCCCAGTGGGGGTCGAGTGAGAGGCAACCACACACTGATGTTTTTCTCCCTCTCTTTCTCCCTCCCTTCCCCTCTGTCTAAAAATAAACAAATACAATACTTTTAAAAATGAGCATTATAACAAGCAATCAGTCTCAGAGCCTGTATTACTTACACTTCTTGAATACTCAGAGAACTTTGGTAATGTAGGAAGAAGGTTTACTAGCTATCTGAAAATTAGACAAACATGAAGGCATGGCAAAAAGCCCTTAAAAACGTAAACCATTCCTTCCAAAACTCTCCCTTGGGACCATCAGGTCAGCCAACTATTGCCACCGCGCTGGGCTCCAGGAAACCTGGCCTCGGTGCAGGGTCCCCTGTGTGTGTGCATGTTCTTCTTTCTGCTGGACGGTGCTAGTCAGCTATTCATCTCTACTCTTTAATGTTTGCAAGTAACACCTGTGCCACGATAATTATTCCCTGAACCACTTGAACTTCCCATCGCGGTTGCAGTGTGCATTGGCAGCACCTACCATTATAGTGTTTGACTGTGTCGAGGGTTAAGAATCGCTTCACCACGAGATAAGCGGAGCCAGGGTCAGCTAACGAACTCCAGCGAAGCACCTGCTCCAACACGTTTTCTGTGTAGTGAAGAGGGCGCTCTGCAAAAAGAACGAAACCAGATCAAATTATAGTAAGGTACCTGTTGATGTAATTATCGAATTTTTAAAATTCATTTAAAACGATCTGTATGCAACAGTAAGTGTAGCCATAGCATATGGTACATGGTAACAGCACTAAGATTTACATAAAAGAGACCCTGACACCTAGAACATCATTAAATATATAATACAATTTACTATATAAATTAATCTGTGCAGGAACATTTGGTTTCTCCTCAACTATTTTAAAAAATTCACAGATGGTATCCTTAGATAAAATTTCAGAAATAATGCTACCCTTCTACACAACAAATCAGTATCTTATACTATCTTCTTTTGAATTTAGCTAACATTCTGGTTTGCTTATGGAAATCTGCCTATTTCCATATGCAATTAAATAATTACAAAATGAGTAGCAAAATTACTTTTTTCTAGGAACAACTAATAACAAATTAACCCTAGAGATGACTGTATTATAATTTCTAATCAATAGTAGTAAACTTATAGCTGATATTCTCATAGTTGATACAAAACCATAAAATATAAATTTACAGAGAACATATGAAAATAATACACATAGATTAGCTAAACATACATTAACTATCAGTGAAAACATCAATTAGAAACATTATATAGCGATCTTATATATTTACTGTTAATATAATAGAAAAAAATAAGAAGTTAATGAAATCTTAAAGACTTTTCCTTGATAAATACGCTCTGTATACATTTTGTTTTAGGCAATCATATTTTTAAATTCATCAGAAGCTCTTAGCACAGCGTTAACTAAAACAAGATTTTACAATTACAATCAAAGCCCCATAGGAAAGATTTTTTGCTAATCAAAATATGCCAATCATTTAATAAAATGTTACAACAGAAGCATATGCTGGGAAAAACGAAATTGAACCCTTTCCACGGCACACTAAAGGCAGCGTAGCCAAACGGCAAGAACAGAGTCTGCCACAGGAAGATGGCGGCGCAGCCTTCCAGGGGCATCGCCAAATGGGCGTCCATCCACCTCTTCCAAACCCTTTGAAGCGCACAGCACATGAGCTCTTCATTTTTGGTTAGAGTAGGAATGCTCATGACAAACCATAGAATTATGGCTCAAGAAAGAATTATGTCGTAATATCACAATCACACACAAACCATATCTTACTTGGTAATAAAGTCACAAATAAAGACAACCAAATCTATCATATCCTTCTTAACACTAGTCTCCCCTGCTATGACCACAGTGTTCCAGAACATACCAACAATCCCAGTCCACCAAAGAAAACAAAAGTTCTGCTTCCAATGTAAATAACCAGCTTTTGCTTACTATTCAGTACGATGTAATGCAGTTCTGCATTTTATGTTTATCGGTGCAAATCAATGATGGTGGCAATTCTAAATAAATGAATAAATGAATGAACAAGAGCAGCTAGGGCACACATCTTAAAGATGTATCTCCCTTGTGTTTACACACATATCCCTGTGCACAGTAGAGTGTTGGGTACATATATAACGGATGTTCAATAAATACTCAAGTGATGAAGTACCTTATGAATTTCTATGGTGGTCTGTAATTCACAGAAAATACATGTAAGTGTATCAGCAAAAAATATATAACTTTTTATAAAACCAGAGAAAAATCTTTTGTCCTACATAAGTGTTGTTTTCTTCAAATAATTTTGTAAAGACTTTGGCAAAGTTCATTGCCCGTGATATCCCAAAGCTATAATTCATTTATTGATTAACCCATAAATGACTGTCTTCTATTAATGGAGGCTGTAATTCATGTTAACTGTTTTTAAAAATAAGACTAATTCTAATTTGAAGTTCTAGCCATGGTAATCAGATTTTAAAAAGACATCCAATTAGAAAGGAAGAAGTAAAACCATTTCCAGGTGACATACTTTATATGTAAAACCTTAAAGACTCCACTAAAAAAAATCTATTGGATTAAATGAGTTCAGCAAAGTTGCAGAATAGAACATTAATATACAGAAATTGGTGGTGTTTCTATACATAACTAATTATCAGAAAGAGAAATTTAAAAAAATGCCATTTGTAACTCCATCAAAAAGAAGAAAATATCAGGTAATAGATTTAACCAGTAAGACACTGAAGACAAAAACTAAAGAAGACCCAAATAAATGGAATGATATATAGTGTTCATGAACTGAAAGACTTAGTATCAAGAAAATGTCCATGCTACCCAAAGCAATCTACAGAGTCAGTGAAATTCTTATCAAAATACCAATGGTATGTTTCACCAAAAGTAGAACAATGGGCACAGACTCACTGATGGAGAGCACATGATAGCTAGTCAGGGAGGAAGCCGTTAGGGAGAAGAGGGATTGAGCAAAAAGGAAAAAAGAACTACGGACATGGACAACAGTGTGGTGATTGCTGTGGGGAGGGGAAGTAAGGGGACTAAATGAATGGGAAAAAATACAGTAACAATTAGATCTTTTTATAAAACAAAGAAAAATAATCCTCAAATATACACAAAAGTAAAAACGACCTCAAATAACCAAAGCAGCCTTGAGAAAGGAGAACAAAGTTGGAGGTCTCATGCTCCTGGGTTGCAATCTACATTTCAAAGCTGTAACAATTAAACAGCACGCACTAGAACACAAAGAGACACAAAGATCAATGGAGCAGAATAGGAAGCCCAGGAATTAACCCATGCTTATATGGTCAATTAACCTGAGACAATGCATGCAGGGACATGCAATGGGCAAAAGACAGTCACTTCAATAAACAGTGTTGGGAAAACAGGGCAGATAAATGCAAAAAAAAAAAAAAAAAAAAGAGCTAGACCACATTCTTACACCATATACAAAAAGAAACTAAAAATGGATTAAAGACTTACATGTAAGACCTGAAACCATAAAACTCCTAAAAGACAACATTGGCCATAAAGTCTTTGAGGTCAGTCTTAGAAATATTTTTTATATGTCTCCTAGGAAAAGGGCAATAATAGCAAAAATAAACAAATGGGACTATATCAAACTAAAACATTTTTTGCATAGCAAAGGAAACTATCCGCAAAATGGGAAGCAACTTGCTGAAAGGAAGAAAATATTTGCAAATCATATATCTAATGAAGGGTTGATAGCCAAAATATATAAAGTGCTCATACAACTCAACATCAAAAAACATTTCTGTAATGTGCAGAGTACCCGAACAGACATTTTTTTCCAAAAAAGACATATGGATGGCCAACAGATGCAGGAAAGGATGCCCGACATTACTAATCATCGGGGAAATGCAAATCAAAACCGCAATAACATATCACTCCACACCTGTCATAATGGCTATTATATAAAAAACAACACATAACAAGTATTAGTACAGATGTGAAGAAAAGGAACCCCTGTGCACTGCCGGTAGGTGTAGAAGTTGATGCAGCCACTATGGAAATCAGTACAGAAGTGCTGCGTGACCCAGCAGCCCCACTTCTGGGCATTCACCCAAAGAAAAGGAGAAGGCTAACTCTTGGAATAACACATGCAGCCCCGTGTTCACTGCAGCACTGCAGACAACAGCCAAGACACAGAATCAGCCTGGGTGTCCGTCAGTTCGTGAAAGGACAAAGATGATGAGGTATACACAATGGAATATTTCTCAGCCATAAAAAAGAATAAAATCTTGCCATTTATGGAAACATGGAAGAACCTAGAGGGCATTATGCAAGTGAAATAAGTCAGAAATAGTAAAACAATGCTGTATGACTTGAATTTATTTACGGAATCTAAAAAACAAAACAAAACGAACAAACAAAACAGAAACAGACTCACAGATAGAGAGAGAAAACTGACAGTTTCCGGGGGTTGGTGGAGGGAGTGGAAGTGTGGAGAAGGGCAAAAAAGGTAAAGGGGACTGAGAGGTACAAACTTTTAGTTATAAAGTAAGTCATGGGGATGTAATGTACAGCATAGAAAACACACTCAATAATATCATAAAGACACTAACTATAGAATCAGCACTATCTTTACATGTCATGTTACATAATTCTTTCTACTGCTTGCAAGCTCAGGGATACTACTGATCCTATTAACAGTTGCTGTTTCTGGAATAACCACCAGGTGTCAAACAGTCTGTATACTGGATACTTTACATCAGTTATCACTTTTGATTCTCACAACAGCCTTCATTAAATATTACTGTTATTCATACTTTACATGTCAGGGAACCCAGGGATCAGGGACACTTAGCCACCAGCCCAAAGCGCAACAGCTGGTTCAAGCAGAGATCTGAACCTCAGATCTATTCCACTGCACAGCTCCAATCTTTGTGACACTCTTTCATTTACGTGAGTATGTAGGCCCACACGTGACCATTCTCTCACGTGTAATTTTGGGGAAAAAAGTGTCCAGTCACACAGATTTTTTGTGAGGACTGAACAAGGTGACATAAGCCAAGTGAAGAACAACGTCAGTTCACATTTCCCCTACTCCCCTTTTCTCCTCCTTAGTGAGAAGGTGGTCAGAAATGATAGCAAGATGATTCCCACATCCTGCCCTTAAGGGAATTGATGTACTGCATTGGCTTGCAGGCAAGAATGCTATTCTTCACTGGCAAACAGCATCTGGATGGAAAAGGCTTACTTACCCTTCTTTATTACAAGATTAAACTGGTAATGAGAATTCCAAATATCCGACTGTTCATAGTAAAGGGGGGTACCTGTACAAGCAGGCACTATAGTGATCACTCTCGGTGTGCTTACTTACACTGAAATATGCCACAGCACATACAGAGGCAAATGCAGATGTGTAAAAAATGAGTCAAGTGTGTTTTTCACATCAGTCTCATAGTGCAAAATGCTCTAGGAGAACAAAAATCCTGAGGATTCATGTTCCTGCATAAAAAAAGACCTGAAAAGTGGGACGAAAAGATAAATGTTTATTATACTGTCAAATGCTATAATTATAAAAAAGGGCATTAACATCCACCAAAAAAAGAAATAACAGGCAGAAGAAAACTGAGTTTTCAAACACTGCCGGAAT